TTCAGGTCCAGTGACCCTTCCTCAGAACTAGACCATAAATGTTAACTCTGATTTCTCTCCACAGATGCTGCCAGACCTGCTGAGCTTTTTCAGCAACTTCTGTTATTGTTTCTGATTTATAGCATCTGCAGTTCTTTCGGTTTTTATTTAGCAATTGATGCTGGATCAGTTCTCGAGTTTGAATCTGGAATGACTCGGTGTTGTCTGTGTGGAGGTCTTGAGGGATACAGGGTGAAGCTGGGTGTACAAAGCTGGATCCTGGATCAACCAGCTCCTGGTTGAATGAACAGGGTCAGGAGGTTTAAATGGCTTCCTGCTCTTTTTCATCCCCTTCCCTCATCCCTATCCTCCAAAATCTTCACCATTCGGTATATTTCTGTGGTTCCTCGATGCTGTCTGTTTCTCTCGTACTGTTTATCTGTTCTCTCTTTACCATTTCCATCTGATACTCGAGCTGTTTATGATGCTGTTGTTATCACTGTGTGTCTGTCCATCAGTCTGTTTCTGGCCTGTGACCAGCAATTACTCAATTCTTCCTAGACGCGCAGATGGATGCAGTTGTGTGCGTGTGCGTGTGTCTGTGTGTGTGTGAGCAAGCGTGCGTGTGAGTGTGTGTGTGTGTGTGTGTGTGTGTGTGTGTGTGTGTGTTCCACTGCATATAACAGCCAGAGAACCTCCCACTCTGAAGGTGATTGCATTTTGGAAACTTTCAGCTTGATGCAGAGTCACCGGGACAAGGATTGTCTAGCAGCGAGAATCCTCGTTCACAAGTGTGTTCACACTCAAAACAAAAACAGTTGGAAATCACAGCGGGTCATGCAGCATCTGTGGAGAGTCAGCAAGCTAACATTTTGAGTCTGGTTGACTCTTCATCAGAGCTCCGAGTCATCAAACCTCAAAACGTTAGCGCTCTCTCTCTCCATGAATGCTACCTGACCCCCTGTGCTTTCCAGTGTTTTTTGTTTTCAGTTCAGATTCCAGCATCTGCAGTAATTTTGCTCCAACAGTGTCACGTTACCGTTCCCACCAATAATTCTCCCTCAACCAGCGTTGCTCGATTGGGTGATTGTTCTGTTGCATAATTGTTGGGATCTTGCTGTGCACAGTGAACCACTGCATTACCACAATAAATGCACCCAACCCCCAGTCAGGGTCCTTCATTGGCTGTGAGGTCCATTGGGAGCACCCTGTGGAGGTGACAGGCGCTCTAGGAATGCACGTCTTTCCTTCTGTTTATTCCCTGTCTCTGTGTTTCCATTCGAATGTCTGAACACTCTTTGAGAGACCCAGGAGCACCGGCTCTTGCTGCCAGCCCAAATTCCTCTCACTGGTCCAGCGGTGAGAGAAATTCCACCAGAGAGTTCCTGACTTTTTAACCCCAATGCCACTGCCCCAGAGGGGCCGAGCTCTTCCTGTGCTGGGGGGAGGGGAGGGGTTCAACAGGGTCTCACTGTGAGGGGTAAGGATGAACCTGTTACCCTTTCAGCTCTCTCTCCCACCCCATGGCCCCCCAGAGCTGCCCTCTCCCAGGCTGCTGCCTACCACCCCCAGCTGTCAGTCTCTGTTCCCTGGTGCCTCCTGTCTCTCTGGTCATCTCCGAGGGAACACGGTTGTCAGCAGGAGCAGGAAATGACGTCAGCTGTGTCAAATACAGCAAGCTGGCCCTTGGAGTCTAGAATGAAGACCTGCATTTATCAAGCACCTTCAATGATGCAGAGTGTGACAGGGTTTGCCCAAGCAGTTCCTGCTACCTGAGGAGACACCAGATGAGATATTAAGGGTGTCAGGACCTGATGTAGGATTCTGAAGCTGTTTGTTTACCCTCCTGGTGTTATTGAGTATCTCCTGGGGTCTACATCTGTGGCCACCCTGCAGACCCTCACACAAATACCATTCTACCTGCGTGCGTCGTATGGCTGAGGCTCTCGGTCAAGCAGAGTTTGAGCTCCAGGTGTGCGTCTCTCAGAGTCTGGGCCGTTGGACAGGGAGTAGGAACTGTGATGCTGTCCCTTGTTCTACCCTGAGCTTCCTCATCATAGTGTTTGTGCTGGGCTGGGAGCTTGGCTCTGAATACTCCACCAGCACAAGGAGGGCGACTGTCCCACGGGGCGCCGAGACAGCGTCCCTGTCCCACGGGGCACTGTCCTGACCATGGGCAGAGGGAACATCGCACCTGAGCTGGAGTTGCTTCCAGCGGATTATGTTCATGTCAGCATTACCTAACGATTGTGAACTGTTTGTGCGTGTTTTTCTTACACAAAGGCCTCTTCCGATTCATTCGAGGAGAGAATTATCGCTGTGTGCGAGGCAATGATGTCACGTTCCTGCTGGCTGCGTTCCGAACGGCTCCTTCACAGCATCAGTTTTCGGGGAATGACCCTGTTACACCTCGCGGCAGCTCAGGGATATGGCCAGCTCATTGCGACTCTCATCAAGTGGAGGCAAGCAACATCTTTCCCTCGGTGCTGTAATCGCAGCGCCTGTTACACACAGTACGCTCTC